ATTCTTATTTATATTCGATAAGCATTGAAATTTGTGTGTTTAAAAGTCAGTGTTACGCCCTGACTTTGAAGGATATAAGAACATTGCAATAACTCACACGTGGTCACTGACTCACCTTCCTTCCGATCTGAAAACATTGCCCAGCTCACCGCAGCAGCTCGACACAAGCCCGACATCGTTCACTTCTTTGGCCAGATCCAGTGCCTCCCGAAGATACTCTTTAGCTCGGCCCCAGTCTGCCGCAGAATTGCAGGCAGCACCATAGTAATATAGGTAAAGAGCTCTTGTGTGCTTTCTCATGGTGGTTTTAAACACCATCAGCGGCTCGAAGTAGGTGTTAATGGCCTCTTTTAGTTCCCCAAGATCGAGCAGACAGATTGCAAGGTGTATCTTAGCCAAGGTTTCTTTGTCAAAATTCTTCATAGACAGAGAAATTTCCCCGGCCTTCTTATACAGCTGTTCCGCCTTGCTTAGTTCTTTAAGCAGACGATGTATCGACCCCAGATTCAGACAAGCATCAAATAATAGCGGCGCTGTCAGAAGAGCATCTGTGGAAAATAACATCAAAAAAGCCATACCAAATCAGCAGAAGTTACTCCTTAGAAATTATGCGGCCTGGGGACTCCTTGACGGCAAGGAATGCTCGTCAAACCTTTTAAAGGTTTTAAACGGATGCGTGTTTTGGTACCAGTCTGGATGTTCAATTTCTAGAAAAGACCATGGCACGTTACCAAAGACTGGCTGGTACTCTGGGGAAAAGGGTTTTTTACAATCACATTTCTGTACAGTTGCAGTGGTCGTCATGCGATCTTTCTCCCCTCTTGGGTGTAGCGGCTCTCCCAGGCGTTCAGTTGGTTAATGCATAGCGCGAAAAATGGCGCACGAAAAAATAAGGGAGAGGCGCGGCGCGGGAAGGCGAGAGAACTCCCACTAAGCCTCTCTGTCCGTTAAATCACTCCGCTGTTTTTTGCACTGCGCCTCCACTAACTGGAAGCCTGGAAGAGGCTGTCCTGGTGGAAGAATGCGAGACAAGTCCAAAGGCTGTCTGTACTATGAGGATCCCCTCTTTTCTCTTGGTACATCACGCGAGAAACATAAAAGAAACGTGATGTAAAATCACCGGCTGGTGTTGGTGTAGTCTGTCCCAGTCTCGCTTCTTTTTCGTTTCTCACTCAATGAATTTAAATCTTGCGCGCATTTTTAACCAATTTCATTGAAATTCAGTAACGTAAATAAAAAGAGGAAATTTGCACGGATATTTTTTGGCGGGAGTTTGTTTTGACGGAATTTGATTTTCGCGGATCGATGGAAAATCCGCGAAATTCGCGAAAATTAGATCCCACGGAAATTTCATGCCACTCGGTAAACCTTCCTGTCACGTAACGATCATTACGTGCGTGACAATCCAAATATTAACCGCAGCACAACAGCAGAAGTAGCCAAATCTCTTCTCATATTTCCTGACAAGATCATATGTTCTTTAAATTTGTCCCTAGTATAAAGACAACAGAAATACGAAGAAAATTTCAACTTAACGTACCCAAACCCCCTTCAGTTACTGTCTGTCGACTCGCATTCTCCGATGAGTACTCCACAATGGTTTCGTTGAATAATCTCTGAGCTGTCTCTAGAGCGGCTTTCCATGGCCCGGTTGCGATCTGAACTTGGAAGAGTTTGTTCATGATCGCGAATTTCTGTTGCTTATTCTTGGCCTTGTCAAGCATATATTCCCAGATAAGTGAAGCTGTTGGCAGGTTTTTACTCATGTTCTCTTGCGCTAGTTTGAAGCTTCTTGGAAATGACCACTCTTCCGCTTTCACGTTCTCCAGTACATCTTCTTGAGCTGACGGAAGCTTTGATCGCAGTTCATCAAGTCCCTGTATAGCGAGATCTTGGTGCTCTGGTGCTAAATATTCCATGATCGATTTCACCTTTAGGTCTCGATTAAAAGAAAAGATTTAAAGATTGTAAAATTCACAAAAATTTAGCCGCCCAGGCGGAAATGTTTTCGTTTTTGCCAAACCCACTTGGAACTCTGGGATGAATGAATGAGAGGAGTCTGGAAACTAAATTGAAACCATACTAAGAAATCTTCAGTATTTGGTGGAGAAAATCACTCGTTCACGTATTTACGAGAACAGATACTGGAAGGAACACGTCAGCCGTGTATATTTTGAGACAAAAATCTGTCTTAGCTTTTGTGTCCAGGTAAACAAAGCTTTTTAGTATAATTCTCCCGAATTTTCAGAGGTGAATATAAGACTTGGGCATTCTGATTGGTCGAAAAGCTCGGCTTGTGACGCTATATGCGGTGAACATAACATTTTTGAGACCTGGTTACTATGCTCGCCACCTTTGCCATCTCGTTAAGTAAACATGGTGGACAGTTTGTAAATGAAATTTTCATTTATTAACAACTCCGCAATCATTGACCAAGGAGACCATCGCAGTAGAAAGACACTAGAATCATGGCACACGGCAAAAACTGTTGAGGTTGATAATAACTCATGCCCACTCCCAAGACAATACAACATTCTTTTAAACAAACATTAATTTAAGCACTTTCAACATTCTTCTAATTGAACACTCTTTATAGTGCAGTCATTTTAAATTCATGCGATTTACTGTCTATCCTCAAATATTTAACGTTTCATTTTATCAGAAATTTTTATCTGTTGAAGACAGTAGACCGGCTGTCAAAAGCTTATGTTTTCAAACATTTTTTCAGCAGAGAAGGCTATATCCTATATTATCATGATCAATCCTGGTATTTTTACGTAACCTATTGTGTCACGAAAATGATAACAACGTGTTCACCAATGATTGGGCAGTTTTTTGATACCATGATTGAAGCATCAAATGATAAAGAGTGGTTATAGCGACCCATTAAAATCTAGGTGCTGGAAACTGTTTTGAGCCACCTTAAAAACTGAATGGAAAACAACCAGTGAGGAGAGTTAAAATTTGGAGCTTAGTGCCGAACGATTTAAACACCAGTAACGCCGACAATGGAGAACGCAGCCCAGTGCTGAGGACTTCGTGTGTTGTCTTTTGCTTGAAGAATCTTCATGGCCTTTCGTAACGATACCGCAGCATCACGGGAAGCCTTGTATTCTCGGTAAAAGGCCGTCATGAGGTCACAAGCGGATCGGTCGTCAATCTTCCACAACGTGACAATCACGCAAGCGGCGCCAGCCGCCAGAAATGCGCGTGAAAGACCTGTGTAAACAGAACCAGGTGTTATTTCTGAACTCCGTTTAATACGATATGAACACGCCTGTATTAAGAGTCGCTACGGGACTGCGTACACGATCAAAATAAGCGCTTCCCGACCCAGCACTTCTCAGGTGTACACATAACGTACCTCCCGAATATCGGGTGCCTAATATCCGCATGAGTCTCTGCGCATGAGTTCAGTCCTTGAACTCACCCTTCCCTTCCCTTAATAGGAGTTGAAGAGGGAGTCTAGAATTAACTGCATCCGCATGCTCAAAGTAAGCCAATCAATTGGTGTCGACGAACGCGCTAAGATTTAGTTGTTCAACTACCCGAACAAACAAGAGACTTAAATACAAGAATCAAGGTCGCAAAATGCGTTCAAGTCCAATTAATAACGAATATGTACTAAAAGTCCTAACTGAACTAGGCTGATATCAACTGGGCTAGAGTTGCTGGTGCTTTGGACTACGAGCAGTCCCTCTTTCGCTTAGTCCGTCGTGCGTGACGAGAAAGAAAACCGCGAGAAAAGAATGGCCGCGCGAAATCCTGGGGGTGACTCGACGAGAGGATTTCACGCCGCCATTATTTCGTCGTTGTTTATTTATGGTCTCGCTCCACGGACTAAGCGAAAGAGGGACTACTCGTAGTCCTACTGGTGCTTCAGCTGAAAGGACTTTTTTAATGATTCAAAAACTTACCCAGTACTCCATCTCCTGTCACTTTACCCAGTCCCGTTTCACAGCAGCTTAGTACCACAAGTTCAGCATTTAGTTCCATACCTCTCACTTCCTCGGCCGTCAGAATACCGTTACATTCGAGCCCAGACTTCGCCAGTACAATGAGGCCCTTCATGCTAAAATCGCCGTGGGAGTCTGCGTCGTCAATAATAGCGTGCGTGGCAAAGTGTAGTATTTTATGCTTTGCCATGGCTGCCATCACATCCTTCTTCTTGGCACGTGACCCAATAAACACTTGTGACTCCGGCGAGTCAATAATCTCGTTGATCATGCGCACTTCGCGCTGGGCAGAGGGAAGCTGGGGAAGCTCTTCGAAAGGCATTGTGGGATTTCCGACAGCGAGAAGACTCAGTTCAAAAGGCGCTGGGGTGTGTTTGGGGCTTTCACGAGAGGTGCAGGCTAGTTCGAGAAAGTGGATCGCTGGACTGGTCGAGATAACAAAGTCTTCCATGATGTAATGATCTCTGGCGTCGCCTTGCAGCGCAGCAAAGGGAACTTTGAGCAAGAAATCTTGAGGAATGAAAGTAACTCGTGGATTCTCATCCTTAGATGGCAGGAATTCCACAATAGGTTCTATGAGAACCTTATGAAGCTGGCTTAGCATTGGTCTCCACGGGTCCAGTTCAGGGTCACTCTCACGTTCATCATGT